TATCGTTAACTTAAAAGAACATAACATATTTTGGACTTCAAACAAGAGTAGCGACACATGCGTACACGCCGATGTTCTGCCAGTGACTTATTTACGTAGCCCGTGGGGAGTTAGGAAGCTAGAAAGAGCGCGAGCACGCTCCAAGTACTCTAAGACATTTTTTTTTTTTCAACTTAAAATGGCCTTGACCCTATGCGCCTAATTAAGGGTTAAATTGCATAAACGAAGTTATTTATATAAACTTTTTAGTTTTGTTTAGTTCCTGAAGAATTACCTAATTGTTTTATAGCGATTTTCAGTAACTTTGTGTCTTTTCTCTTCGATACAAGAATCTCCCAAGATTTGGCTTATATCAATAGATTCTTCCTTCGACGCAGAATCTCTAACACCATAGTATGGTTTGAAAAAGATTTTAAAACTAGTTTTTTCAAACTTATTACACCCGATTTACATGATTCAAGTACTCTAAAGCAATTCTGGTACATTTTCTTTTCGGTTTTCTATTTGCGAAAATGGCAAAAGCAAAGAAAGAAACTTGAAACCACTTGACAGTACAGACACATATCGCACCCCAAATCAAAAACCGGCACAACTCAAAATTTTTCCAAACTTTTTTCTTTTCCATAAAACAGTTCACAGACCATATACCCAAATCCGCCAAAATTACTTCTTCATCAACTGGAAAAATACTTCTGCTCGATTGCGCAGCATCAACAGTTTTTTGCCTCTCCTGAGCATTTAGGATTTTTTTAAATAAAATTTTTTTTTTTTATATGACTGTTTTAGAACTCACCAAGAACGAAAATTTGTATGCCGCTAAAGTCCTCTCAAAGTAAACTTTCAAACTAGGGAGATAATATAAAAGTGTTTTCTATCACTTATACCATAAGAATTGGCAGGCAACCTCGAATTCCTTTTATATAAACTGTAAACAAAATTTCAAGTCATCTGAAGTATGTTGAGTTATACTTGCAACAATGCACTTTCAACATGGGCTGACGATCATACGAATTGGCAGGCAACTTTCAGTCCATTTTCTGTACACTTTAAATACAATTCTATCAAAATTTCAAGCCATCTGAATTTTGCTGACTTAGGCACTCCGCACATTACGCGCCTAATCATAGTAGAGTAATCGTTTTGTCATGTCAAAACGAATGCATTACGACTCGACTTCTGCACACTTGGGCGCCCTGCGTAAGCCCTGCTGGCGCATACATTACACATTTTCTGGCCGGTCTTTCTCACTAATACACTTCCGCGAACATTTCTGCAATAAAATATTGCATAAACATTTATGGCTTAATACAGTTGGCACGAATTTTAGCACAAAATCATTAATTTTCAATTATTTCCTACTGAAATGACAAATAATTTTTATTTCGAGCACAAAAAAGTAAACAAATGCCGATATCAAAACGGCAAGCGCCTTACAATGTTGGGCGCGTCGACTCATGAAGTTTTTATGATTAGGCGAAAACATGATTATGAATCGTAATATACAGAGCTTCATTGAAATGCATGTGTTCGGTATAAAAGCTTCATACTTTAGTACGACGGAACGATTACACTACTATGACTAGCCGTTTAATGTGCAGAGTGCCTTGAACTTGCAACAACGCATTTTCAACATGCTGTTTGTAATTTAAGACCATAAGAATAGGCAGGCAACCTTGAATTCCTTTTATATACACTGTAAATACAATTCTATCAAAATTTCAAGTCATCTGAAGTATGTTGACTTATACTTGCAACAATGCACTTTCAACATGGGCTGGCAGTACTTTCAAGACCATCAGAAGGGGCTGGCTGTAGAAATTTCATATATTTCTAATATTACCAATGTGCTGTTAAAAGGACAGCGCATCTGATGTATGGGGTGTGTTCAGTAATGCATTAAGACTTGCAGTATTTGCAGAGTTGGCAGCACTGCAGATTTGATGGTTGATGCAGCTGATAGAATTGTTGACAATTTGCAAATAGGTTTGTTGCATTTTTGAACACCTTCTTTACTAACATGGAAGTGTTATTAAGTTTAATAGTGGACGATATTTGTGAGCCAAGAGCTGATAGTTTTTTATTGAATGCAAGAAAAAGAAAACTTTTAAAGTTTAAAAGAAGATTTCTTATTAAAAGGCTATCGCTAAAGCGAAAAATACCTAAAAACGAGACATTTTTTAAAACAATAAAAGCCTTTCCCGAGGACATATTTTATTCTCATTTTCGGATGAATTGGTCCACTTTCAATGTAAATTTTTACATGTTTTAGCACAAGTAGTATTTTGTAATCAAAGTTATTTTAATTAAGGCTTTGAAAGACGCTTTGTCTCCAACTTGGGTAACTGCAAGGTTTGGCCGCTGTGGTCATTCATTACAAAAATGTCTATACGTAACATTATGGAAGCTATGCAATAGCAGGGTCACCTTTCGCCAGTTTTCGGATCGTTTCAACATTGCGAGGGGAACAGCGTACTCTCTGGTCATCAAAACAATCAAAGCCATTTGTAATTTGAAAAGCGAAATTAAATGGCCATCTGTTGAATATCAGCAAACTCTCATGACGAATTTTGAAAACAGCAGAGAAAATCCGTTTCCTTTCGTAATTGGATGTTTAGTAGATGGAAGACATATACTTATGTACTTCCATATAATTAGTTTACTTTTCTAAATTTTCTTACTGAACACGGAATAAATCGTTTTTTTAGACTTCATTTTCATTTAATTTAATTTAATAAAATATATTAAATTAACATCACATGGTTTCAATAATAAAAATAAAAAAAGATTTCAATCTAGAAAGGTTAAAAAGGTACATTTCACAGCTTCATCTTATGACTAATAAAAAATAAATTCAAAATCTACTTTTGCAGACATCGGTTCAATATTGATTTTAATTCCAGCAACGCTTGGATTCGCTCTTTCTCCAGTGAAAGTTTCCCCCTCTCCACAGCCATTGCGTCATGTCGGGTTTGCTCTTTAATAGCTTCTTCTTCAAAAAACTTTAATATTTCGCTGTTTGGGTTTCTCCGAGGATGTGGTGCTCTACGACTTGAAGTCGGTGGAGAATTGGGTGGCTCAACATTACCTTCTTCAAGGCGGCGACGATGGTAGCTCCAACGACGCTTGCAGATTTTGTGGCGGAGGATTGATGGAGTGCCTGGTACCATACACCTCGTCAAAATCTTCAAAATATAGCCAAGATGTTGCTTCCCTGCCGGAGGAATTATTGCGCTTTTTATACGTTTATACGATATCAGCATATTTAAAAATTTTCTTTGTGCGATGTGTCTGTCTATGTTAATGTCTCTGTTGATTTTTTTTACTTCTTCCACCACCTTATTCCATAGAACGCTCTTTTTTCTGCTTCCAGATGCAAATTCGTCTTCCATATTTAATCGAACTCTAAGCAGCAACTTAACTTCAGCCGTACTAAGATTTTCGCTGAAAATAATAAAAATATAATATAAGATTGTTTCAAAACTATACGTTTAACAAATTTTCATTGTAAAAATTACAGAAAATTAGTTTTGTACTCACTTTTCTTCCGACGTGGTACAAGCGTAATCAGCGGCAGTGTAATTTTTTTTTTATGCAAATGATGAGCGACGCTTGATAGAAAAATGGCGTTTTAGAACGCTCGACATTTGCAGTGCTACCATATTAGCATTTCTGAACGTTCTGCTGGTCCTGCAAAAGCAGTATGCGCATTATACTGCATTACTGAACACCCCCATGTTGACTTATACTTGCAACAATGTACTTTCAATATGGTCTGGAAGTACTTTATTACCATAAGAATGGGCAGGCAGCCTTGGGTTAATTTTCGATATAGTGTAAATAAAATTCTATCAAAATTTCAAGTCATCTGAAGTATGTTGAGTAATCGGTTTTTATTGACATTTTTAATAGCTAAAACGCATGGTCGAGACCGCTGTTCAGCAGCCAGCCCTGCGGATCTCGATTAATATATTAACAAGTTAAGCTCACAAAAAAATTTCAATCGATCTGAAGAATGATGGGTTTTTTGGTCATGAGCTCTCCGTCTATTACCAAAGTATGAGATACATGTGAATATGTTAAATGCATTTCGGGGTATTATTGTAAACATGAGTCTAAAAATCATTTTATACATCATCATCTTCCAGTTTTTCGCAATAAACTTTCGACTGAATTCATGAGGTGGCTCTAACGATGGAAATTCGTTGTACTGAAGAAAAAGAGGCTTCTTAAGAAATGGTCGCAATTGGTTCCAGTTCAAGTATATATTATATTATCAGAATATAGAAGTATAAAAAAGAATCCTACATGGATTGCCTTGTGCTCTTTTCCCACAAAAAAACTTTAGAAAACCGTAGTAGAAAGCGTTACAAATTTCTTAAGAGCTGCGTACTGCCTTAAGGATATTTGACACAAGGAAATTTCTTTGCCATTTCTTCTTCGTCATTTTATATGGAGTTCTTGCTTTTGATTAGAGTTGGATACTAAGCTTATAAGGGTGCGGGGAAAGGTCCTAACGCAAGATTCACCAAAGAGTGGCAGAAATACACTCAGAGGCTTGCCATTGCCTGCCAAAGGGCGACCGCTATCAGAAACAAATTTTCCTTTATTTTGTTTTTGATGTTACGCGGAATGGTAATGCGCACTTCTAACCACTACACCACAGCGGGCTGCGTTCATACTAATACTCTAAAGCTGTCAACGTCCTTATTGGAAAATATTATATTTTATTGCAAACAAACTTTCAAGTAATCCGTTTCGCTTATAAGCGTTCGTCAACTAGACTTAAAGGAATTAGTATCGTGTACAATTATGTGTAATATGTTAGTAAATATAAGTTTATGTATAGATACAAATGTAAAATCTTTTATAAAAAACCTTTGCACAAAAAGTTGTGTTGTTCTACAAAATATCTCAACATATTTAATATTGCAATTACATAATCATGTGAAAGTTAAAACATTTGTTTTAGTAGTATCTTGAGAATTGCTTTAAAAGTTCACCTGGTAAGCCTTTGCCTTGCTTTCTCGCCTTTTTAGCTTCTGCTCAATAGAACAATGAATCGTGAATCCATTTTAAGCAATTTGGCATTGTTTTTACATTTTTCATCCAATTTCATATTCAGTAGTGATTGATTGATGCCGTTATCAAAGGTAATGTTTTCGTTTCACATTGTATTTTGCATAATTTGTTCGGTTCGTTTTCATATTTGCATTAATTCCAATTTGTTTATTTTATTTTAGATTGCGAATTTTATTTGAATATGTTCGGTTCATTGTGGTGGAGGTAGATGAGGAGATCAATGAGGTATCATTAAAATCACATCATGCGACATGTATGAGCAGTATATGTAAAAAAAATAAAAAAAAATAAAACATGAAAGTAATATAAAGAGCGGAAAGTGACTGAAGAAAAGGAAGAGAATATCTGGTCAAAGTTATACATTTTTAATTCCGTATTACACAAACATTTACCGATTTAAAGTGAAACACGCAAAGATTTTCAATGAAGAACAATTTAGGGGTTCAACTTATTTGTAGAAGTAATAAAAATGCGATAACAAAAGTGTATTCAAACAGTTATAATTATGAAGAATAATCAATAGTACTATCAACCCAGATTTAATGTGCCAATGCAGGAACGTAGCCTAGTTCTAAGTAATCAATTATTTTGATAAGTACACGAACAGTGTATGTACTTCTAAGATATGAACGTATGTATATATATACCTTCACACAGTCAAATCGAATAACTTTGCGATTATAAAAGAAGAAATGAAAACACAACTATTGGCTTCTTCGCCATGAAAAGTATTTAAACGGGGTATATATTAACATTTGTCAAACTTCACTGTCATGTAAACTGGAAGGCGCGGTAAAATTAAATTAGGGTGCGTTCAGAAATGCATCAAGCCAAAGCATCAGTCTCTTTTATTTCTAAACTTTAATTGATAGAAATGTCAAATATGCACAACCACGGTTATAAGCCGAATCGGAACTTAGTTGCGTAAATAAGACATTTCCATCAATTCTAGTTTACAAATAAAAGATCCTGATGCTTTGGCTTGATGCATTTCTGAACGCACCCTTAGTCTGCCGAAATAATTAATCTTTGCTCACTGCATATCACCCATTGTACGTAAGCTATGGTCGAAGTAATCATCCACCTAAGCAAACAAATACCAATGCGGTGTGCACTATGGATTGCCCGTTCAACCGAAATCAGCTGTATAAAGTCAGGCCGATTGAGCATAGATTATGTTAGCTATGGCTTTATTGCGTAAGAAACTTCCTAGTACGCACAATTCAGGTATTCGGCGATGTGGCCATCAAAGTTTTCCGATTTGTGAAGATATACCAAATACCGGGTACATGTGAACCATTTTGCAACTTAATAGTCGTTCCCACAAATCGGGTCTACGTAACGGGAACGACTCATTTTCACATTTGGACAAGGACTACAGTATCATTATCAAAAAACTATTTGGAGAATATGTATTTTGTTATAACAACTTTAGAGAAATTAAGACCAGATATGTCAAGTTATGTCCAAGCTATCACTTATTTTGTGTTAAGAAATAATCGAAAATTACCGCGGAAATATTTAGTCCTGCAAGCGGTGAGAAAAAGAATATTTGAATGATACTTTTTTCCTGGATAACCAGTAGTAAATTTGTACCTCTACAGAAATTGGCGAAAATACACTACAATAGAAATTGGTAGTGACATACACATACAGAAGCACGGCAGAGAACAAATTAAAAAGTTTACGCGCAATGCTTCTTTTTTATAAATATCTCTGGAAAAAAATGTGTGTTAGTAAATTCTGGGTAGAGATAAATTGTAAACACTTTAAAAACGAACAAAAATTAAGATATGAACTCTTTATTGTATGTATATTAAAGTACTGACCTTTCTTTCTCTTTTTCAGTTCAGCCTCTTGTTCGTCAACTGCAGCACCCAGTAGTGTGAATATGATACCCGCTTGTGAATTTACACCAACAGCCGTGACTATCATTTTTCCGCTACCCTCCATAACGTGTGTACCAGAAAGTACCGTAGGATCGACGTCGACACCCTTCTTTACATGATCTGATTCACCCGTTAATGATGACTCATCAACCTTTAAATAATATGCAAAAACAATAAGAACCGCAAAATAATGCGACAGCGATATTACTTACCTTTAGATCATTACTTTGAATAAGGATACCGTCCGCTGGTAACAAGTCCCCGTACTTTATCTGTGCAATATCACCAACTACAATATCACCAACAGATACTTGGCAAACCTCCCCACCACGTATAACCGAAAATTTATGCTCGCCTTCAATACGATTTTGCAAGCCTCGAAATTGCCGTTCTTTCGAATAATCATTGAATGCTGTCACAAATACTACAACAATAACCGAGATCAAAATCGCTAGGCCTTCTATCCAGCCATGGTGGTCTTCTTCTTCTTGCAGGAGGGCTGCAATATAAAAACGATTGATTGAAAGTTGCACATTTGTGAAAAAAGGCTTCAATTTATTTCAGATAATATCCAATTAAATGAGATAGTAACTAAAAAAAAATGACTCACGTGCATCTTCATCGGCGGGTTTGTAAAATGATAAACCAAGAGAAACTAACGCAGCTACTTCTAAAATAATTAGAGTGACATCTTGCAGCGCTTCCCAGACTAATGTTAAAAACGTTTTTGGGGGTTTCGGTGGGATAACATTAGAACCAAATGTTTCACGCCTATGTTCAATGTCAGTTCGGGTTCCTCGTAGACCTTGAAATGTTTAACCAGATGGAAAGAAATTATTGATTTCGATTGATTTAAAGGCTTAAGAGCAACTTACCCTCGTTTGGTGATGTATACAACTTGTCGCATAATTTATTGACACCGCCAAATTCGCTTAGCTTTGCTACGCCTTCCCTACCTCGATGCTCCATGAGCTCTCGAAGTTGTTTAAGAGAAATCCCATATTGCGCCGGTCTACCATCTATTGTGGCCATTTGTTAAAAGGAAGTCTAAAAAATATAAAAATATGCAATGCTAGTAGAGTTCGCGTTCTATGCAGAATATGCATAACTACCGTATTTATAAAATACATGCGAAAATCCCAAATAGAATTTTTAAAATATTTAAATATATTAATTGCAGTTTTCTAAAAATTGGAAGGAAAAGCTCCAATTAGCCATTCCGGCACATTTTATATTTAGTTCAATTGAAGCACCAACTTTCATGTGGCAAGGAAGCATCCTACTAAAATTAGAACTCCTTCTCCATTTATCAACAACATAATTTATTTATTCATAATTTAACGACTGTATCTTCAATACTTGAACAAACCATTTTCGCGAAATAAACTACATAGATCGAATATGTTGGTGTTAAATTCATTGTGTCCTAAATTAAAAAATATTTCTGAGATATGCAGTTATAGTATGTACAAGTACAAAATATGATTCTCTTTAGTAAGGCTAGGTTTAGGAGACACTTTCACTCAGAGACATTGTAGACATCCGAGAGTTGCATTTACCGCTTCTGAAAAAATTTTCTTAATTGTTCCAAAAGTCACTCCGAGCACGTTCACTGTTGATTATTTGATTTATATAATTGTTTGTTAAGCATTCATTACTATAGTTAATATATTCATCAGTAATAAATCATATTAAGTCTGTTCCAGGCACTTCACTATTTGCAGGCTTTTACAGAAAGCTGTTCCTGTATGCCACCTTCCATAAGCCGGAAACAGCTTTTTCGGTAAATCCTGTAAAACTTGATAATCCTGAAGTACCTGGAACAGGCTTATTAAGTATATTAAAATATAAACGTATATGGTAGAAAGTAAAAAATTATTTAGTCTTAATATGCACAACATTTTATATCGTGTTCCGAGCGCGTTCACTGTTGATCATTTGATTTCAATAATTTTATTTTTTGCAAGCATTCATTAATATTGTTTGATCGGAGTTTATATATTCTTCAGTAATTATTAATATAATTAATGAATAATTATTAATATATACATACATATATGGTAGAAGGTAAGAAATTATTTAGTCTTAATATGCACAACTTTTTATATCGTACCCCAAAGCTCCCTCCGAACGCGGCCACTGTTGACCATATCAGTACTATAGTTTGATCGGAGTTTTTATATTCTTCAGATATTAATCACATTATCTTTATTTCCTCTTCTTAGTTTAGGGTTGCATTTTATCTTACATACTAAAATATTCAGGGTTGCTAAATTTCATAAGTGATAATTATAAGTTGAGTTGCCACATACTGTAGAATCGCTACAGGGCTCCCCCGCGAGATATTACCTTATGCGGTTGCTGCCTTGACCTCGTAACTCGCGGTGGCAGCGTTTCGCAGACTATCGCCGAAGGAACTTTGGCTACTGTTTGCGTTCCTTCTTCCAAAAAAGCGGGCTTGAGGGTCAATGGAAACGGTGATAGTTTTTTGATTCCTGACAAGCTTGAAAAATTTCTCGTTCCGTTTCAGCACTTGGAATGGTCTTTCGTATGGTTGTTCCAATGCTGTACGCACGCGATCTACTCGAACAAACACGAATTCGCGGTTCTTAAGCTCAGGTTGGACGAATGTTAGCTGGGCCCCGTGGCGAGTTGCTTTTCCTGGCTGAGCAGCAGCAAAGCGCCGCCGTAATTGCTTAATGAATTCTGTTTCGTTTAGCTTACTTTCGCTAGGACAAAGAAATTCGCCTGGTACCCGTAATTGCGTTCTAAAAAGCATATCAGAGGGACTTGCTCGAAGATCTTGTTTGATGGCGGTTCGCAAGCCCAGTAGGACAAGTGGGAGAACTGCGCACCAATCCTTCGTTTTGTAGCACTTTATAGCGGCCTTAAGCGTTCTATGCCAGCGCTCTATCATACCAGTGGCTTGTGGATGATAAGCCGTTGTTTTAAAGTGTCGTATCCCCATGATACGCATTAGTTCGCCGAAAACTGTCGACTCGAACTGCAGACCTAAGTCGGTTGTGATCTGTACGGGTACGCCGAAATGTGCATTCCATCCCTCAATTAAGGCGCGTGCAATCGTTTCTGCGGACAAATCCGGGATGGGTATCGCGGCTGGCCACCAAGAAAATCGGTCTACACAGGTAAGACAGTATCGGTTATTATTCCATGTCGGCAGGGGCCCTATGATATCCAAGTGGATATGTTCAAATCGGCTATCCGCTTTGTTGTAATCACCAAGAGGAGCTTTTGTATGGCATTGAACTTTATTTTTCTGGCGAAGCTTTACGTCCTGGATGTGCGAGGCTGTGCAATTTTGCGATTACCTGTTGATGTAGGCTGCTTGGTACAATCGGCCGTAACCTAGCTTGTTTTGCGTCGCAGATCACGACTGCGGAGCTGTTGGGTGTAGTAATTTTCTTCAGCTGTAGTGATGAATTTGATGAATTGAGATATTCCTTCAGTTCCTCGTCTGAGCACTGTGCCTTCGCGATGACATCGAAGTCTAGCGCGCCCATCGTCTGAACTCGCGATAATAAGTCGGCAACGTCGTTCTCTTTACCAGGGCATGAATCACGTATGACGACAATCGTCTGAACGATATCGTGTCGAGATTGTGTTGCTTCATGAAAACCAAAAATTGTTTGATCGTTTGTGTGATATTGTCAACTCGATTCTAGTTTTGCTTCAAGTAACAGTAACAGTAATATGTAACAGCAACACAAATGCATAAATCAGTGTTTTTACGAGGTCGTTTTGTCAGTATCGTTTGAGCGACTATCGTTTTAAAGTTACGTGATTCATGCCCAGGCAAATGCCTTATGTCGGTAGAAAATTTGGAAATAAAATCTAGCTGGCGGGCTCTCGAGGACGTGCATCGTTTACGGTTTGTGTGGAGGCGTAAATTAAGGATTTATGATCAGTGTAAATTACGAATTGCCTACCTTCTAGTATGTGGCGAAAATGCTGAATAGCTTGGTAGACCACAACCAACTCCCGATCATGCGTTGAATATTTTGTTTACGCTGACGTTAGCCGCTTTGAGTCGAATCCGAGCTGCTGGTGTACATCACCGATGATTTGATGAACTACGGGCCCACTGCGTTGTTCGAGGCATCGGTCGTTAGAGTAGGTTGCGCAATCGGGGATATGTGACTCAGGAGAGTAGCGTTGGCCAGTTCATCTTTCCAAGCCGTAAATACTTCGTTGGCTTCCTCGTTCCAGTTTATGACGATTTTGTCGTGTTTGATGTTTCCCTTTATTAAATCTTGCAAATTTCGTTGGTTGCTCACAGCGTTGGGCAAAATGGGGCGATAAAAATTGAGCATTCCAAGAAAACGTTTCAGATCTTTGGCCACAGTTGGATTCGGAAACTTGCGAATCGCCTCTACCTTTATATCCATGGGTCTGAGCCTTTCCACACTGATGGCGTGGCCGAGGAAGTTAACTTGACTTTTGCCAAATTGGCATTTGCTGGCATTAATGGCCAAATGATTCTTCTTTAAACGTTCGAAAATTTCCCGAAAATGTTTTTCGTGTGCGATTGGATTCGCAGAAGCCACGAGGATGTCGTCTATATATGCGAAATCGATTCCTTGCAACACGTCGTGAATGTGCCGCTGAAACGTCTGCCTTGCGTTTCGTAAGCCAAAAGTCATGAAGTGAAACTCGAAGAGTCCGAACGGCGTCGTAAATGCCGTTTTAGGAACATCTTTTGGCTCGACAGGGAACTTATTGTAAGCACGTTGTAAATCTATTACCGAAAAAACAGATTTCCCATGCAATATATGCGTGACATCGTGTAAAAATGGTATGGGGTATCGGTCGGCGGTTGTTACAGCGTTGAGCGACCGGTAGTCCCCACACGGTCTCCAGTCGTCATTGGCCTTGCGCATCATGTGCTGGGGACTAGCCCATTTGCTGTTCGACGGCGTACAAATTCCCCGATCTAGCATGTACTGAAACTCATGCTTTGCTGCATCTAGATTTTCGCCTGTGAGACGGCGAGGTCGTGCGAAAACTGCTGGACCGGTTGTAACTATGTGGTGTGTTACTTTCGATGATGTGCATTTCGTCGCGTTGTTAAGTATACTTAACTCTTAGAACTTCTAGCAGACTAGTGTATTTATCTGGCGCCTTGAAAGTTACAACTGATGATATGTTCGCGTGGATAGCATGACCTTTAGCTTCGTTAAGCGTCGTTCGGTCGTGAAGCATGTTGCGTACTGGATCCACGAGTAAATTGAATTTACGTAAAAAGTCTAAACCGATGATGTATGCTGAGACGTCTGCTATGATGAAGGTCGACTCAAAGTTTTTTTCCCGAACCTAAGGATAGGCTCATGCGTCGTTCGCCGTACGTTTTGATTGGCGTGCCATTCGCTGCGTATAATTGAAGGTTTACTGCTTTCCCACATTTGTCACTTGGTCGAACTGGTGTAACGGATACATCGGCCCCGGTGTCAATTATGAATTTAAGTTTGGTGTGGCTGTCCGTGATTGCGATGCGTGCAATGTTGCTTACGGGTTTGCCGAACGTAGACAGCAGGCGGTCTGACTTCCCCATTAGTTTTTTGACTTCGAATTGAAACCGCAAGGGGCGCAACATTTTTGTGCATTGCGGCGGATTACGTATGGAACCAGCAGAATTCACCAGGAGCTGATTTTTTCGTTGTAAATTTTGAAGAAGGCCGTTTTGCAGCTGGCGTAGATTGTTTACGCTGCAGTTGATCGAGCTGCCTCTCTATTCGCTCAATACGGCTGGATTCACTTGTAGGCTCACCCTGTGTTTCTAACCTCGTTGCCATTGCCACGTGGTTGTGATCGCTGACTTCCATGATTTTGTCAGCTAATTTGGCAAGTTCGGAAAGTTCAGATGTGGATGCCTGAAGGATAGCGCGAGTTTGCGGGGGCAAACGCTGAAGCCAAAGGGATTTGAGAAACTCGTTGCTTACTCTGTCTCGGGCGAGACCACTCAGCTCCCGTAAAAGTTGTATAACATAACCTAGCCTAGGTCGCATTCAGATAAAAGTTGTTTCATCTTT